AAATAGACAAATGGGATCTAATTAAACTAAAGAGCTGCTGCATGGCAAAAGAAACTACCATCAGAGTGAACAGGCAACCTACAGAATGGGAGAAAATTTTTGCAATTTACCCATCTGACAAAGGGCTAACATCCAGATTCTACAAAGAACTCAAATAAATTTACAAGAAAAAACAAAAAACAAACAAAAAACAAAACAAAAAAACCCCATCAAAAAGTGGGCAAAGGATATGAACAGACACTTCTCAAAAGAAGACATCTATGCAGCCAACAGACACATGAAAAAATGCTCATCATCACTGGTCATCAGAGAAATGCAAATCAAAACCACAATAATACTATCTCATGCCAGTTAGAATGGCAATCATTAAACAGTCAGGAAACATGGAGAGGATGTGGAGAAACAGGAATGCTTTTACACTGTTGGTGGGAGTATAAATTGGCTCAACCATTGTGGAAGACAGTGTGGTGATTCCTCAAGGACCCAGAACTAGTATTACAATTTGACCCAGCAATCCAATTACTGGGTATATACCCAAAGGATTATAAATCATTCTACTATAAAGACACATGCACATGTATGTTTATTGTGGCACTATTCACAATAGCAGAGACTTGGAACCAACCCAAATGTCCATCAATGATAGACTGGATTAAGAAAATGTGGCACATACACACCATGGAATACTATGCAGTCATAAAAAAGGATGAGTTCAGGTCCTTTGCAGGGACATGCATAAAGCTGGAAACCATCATTCTCAGAAAACTGTCACAAGGACAGAAAACCAAACACCGCACATTCTCACTCATAGGTGGGAACTGAACAATGAGATCACTTGGACACAGGGTGGGGAACATCACACACCAAGACCTGTTGGGGGTGGGGGACTGAGGGAGGGATAGCATTAGGAGAAATACCTAATGTAAACGATGAGCTGATGGGTGCAGCAAACCAACATGGCACATGTATACCTATGTATCAACTCTGCACGCTGTGCACGTGTACCCTATTATATTATAGTTTTATTACATTAAAATATAATAAAAACAATAATAAATAAACAAACAAATAAAATGGGGATAACAGAAGAACCTACCTCATGGGTTTTTAAGGGACAAAGTTCATTCACTTAATAGATATTATATAGCATCTATTATATGTCAGATGTTATTTTTTAGGTGCTTAGGATACATTAGAGAACAAATAGACAAGCTCTTTGCCTTCATGGAGCTTATCTTACAGTGGGGAAGACAGATAATGAATGATAAAGAAAATAAACAAATAGGCTGGGCGCAGTGGCTCATGCCTGTAATCCCGGCACTTTGGGAGGCCAAGGCAAGCAGATCACTTGAGGTCAAGAGTTTGAGACCAGCCTGGCCAACATGGTGAAACCCTGTCTCTACTAAAAACACAAAAATTAGCCGGGTGTGGTGGTGCATGCCTGTAATCCCAGCTACTCAGGAGGCTGAGGCAGGAGAATTGCTTGAACCCAGGAGGCAGAGGCTGCAGTGAGTTGAGATCACGCCACTGCACTCCAGCCTGGGCGACAGAGCAAGACTCAGTCTCAATAAACAAACAAACAAACAAATAAGCTATACAGAAAGTTAAGCGAGGCAAATTAAGAGATTCAGTGATAAGTATAATGGAAAAAAAGAGAATACAGCAAGTCAGATAGGGAATATGAGGTGGTACTGGTGGTTCAATTTTATGTAGAGTGGTCTAGGTAGGTTACATGGAGAAGGTAACACCTAAGCAAAGATATGAAGGGGTTAAGGAGTAACTGACACAGACATCTGAGGGAAAAGCATTCCAGGCAGAGGTAATATCCATTACAGTCTTAAGGAGAGAGTGTGCCTATTGGGTAAGAGGAACAGCATGGAAACCAGCGTGGCAGGAGCCAAAAGAATAAGGGGGAAAGGAAGAAGAGATGAGGTTAGAGAAATAACAGGCCAGTTCATGTATATAGCCTTTTAGCTCTACAAGCAAAAATCAAATGAAATATTCACGTTAAGTGCTTAGAACAGTAAAATGGTACATAGAAAACATTTAATAAATGGTATCTACATTTGTATTTACATGAAAATCTTCTGGTCCCTAAGCAGAGCTAGTCTGGAAGAGGTCAGGCTACAGGGACTCTAGCACCATTTATGTACTTTGGTGGGGTTAGAGAGTCCTTCAACATTTTAAAGTACAGAAATCAAACAGATCAAAGGCCTAGGTGATCCGCAGCAGCAAGCAGAGATGGTTAATTCTCTGCAGGTGCTCAGAAAACTGAACTAACCGAGGCATGCAAAGTCAACATAGCTATCAATAAAAGACAGGGAAGGAGTTGGGTGTGGAGTGGGGTGGGCTTGGCTAAGGGCTGAAACCAACAGGAGAGTCATTAGCAACATAAGAGAGAAAGCAATGGAGCATGGAAGCATCCTCTACAGCAGTGGAAACTCATTCTGATTATCAATGCAACCACAAAGTCATGATGAAAACGACTGCAAACCACCGGGGAGTAAGCCAGGGAGCCCAGCAACATGAATGCACTTGTAGGGGGCAAAAACAAATTAAGAGATTCAGGCAAAACCATTCCCTTTCCTGGTGGAGGCTCTTTAATCTTTAATATCTCTCTCTTGACACTAGGCACAGATCTTGCCCCAACAAGACAAAGGATAACTTCTGAGAAGCTAAAAATTCTCGTTTGGGTGAAGGACTCTTGAGGAGAAGAGTGCCATGTGTCTGCCGGACTAAAAGATGTGTTCTCAGGTCGAGGTGGGCGGATCACGAGGTCAGGAGATCGAGACCATCCTGGCTAACATGGTGAAACCCCCGTCTCTACTAAAAAAATACAAAAAAATTAGCCGGGCATGGTGGTGGGTGCCTGTAGTCCCAGCTACTCAGGAGGCTGAGGCAGGAGAATGTCATGAACCTGGGAGGTGGAGTTTGCAGTGAGCTGAGATCGCGTCACTGCACTCCAGCCTGGGTGACAGAAAGAGACTCTGTCTCAAAAAAAAAAAAAAAAAGATGTGTTCTCTTGGTCATACTGTCTCACGCTGGGCAGATCAGGGCTAACCCACCTCCATGGCCTTTATGACTGAAGGGGCTGCAGGGCCCTGGAGCTGCAGACAGGAATGCAGTCTTTTTGGGAACTGAAGGCAGGCAAGAATATAATAAAGGCTAGATGAAGATACCCAGGCTGGGCTTTAAACTGCTTTAAATTGTGCCAGTTTCTTCTGGCATCTGCCCTAAGGAAAGCAAAGCCAGGCACCGTCCAATGGAAATCTGGAAGTGGGCATCCTTTGTGGCATCAATTATGCCAGTTTGGCCAGGAAGTTTGTAGTGCTTGGTCTCTATGACCCTGACCTAACCTACTCAATAAGGGGCAGTTTAGTCTGAGTCAGAAGAAATGAAGAGCGACTCAATATTGTGATCTTTGACTTAACATATTCAATTTGTAATTAAGACCATTATTAAAATTAGTATGAGAAATCATGTCTTCTCATTCCATTCCTCAAACTCTCTGTCTGCCTTTACTATTTCCTGATAGTAACCATGGATATTTGCTTTAGAAGTTCTTAATTGCTGGCCGGGCGCCGTGGCTCAAGCTTGTAATCCCAGCACTTTGGTAGGCCGAGACGGGCGGATCACGAGGTCAGGAGATCGAGACCATCCTGGCTAACACGATGAAACCCCGTCTCTACTAAAAAATACAAAAAACTAGCCGGGCGAGGTGGCAGGTGCCTATAGTCCCAGCTACTCGGGAGGCTGAGGCAGGAGAATGGTGTAAACCCGGGAGGTGGAGCTTGCAGTGAGCTGAGATCCGGCCACTGCACTCCAGCCTGGGCAACAGAGCGAGACTCCGTCTCAAAAAAAAAAAAAAAAAAAAAAAAGAAGTTCTTAATTGCTACATTCTTAGCTACTTATTTAGTCAATATACTAAGTGTCAAAGATATGCCAGGGACAGTGCTAGATTCTGGGGAAACAGCAAGGGATAAGACAGATAAAAATTCCTATTTTCATGGTACTTACATTCTAGTGTGTATGTGTGGCAGTGGTGGTTGGAGAGACAGGCAATAAGAAGTAACAAAGAAAGAAATACTTTTAGGAAGTGAACAGAGCAATAACAGAAATCAGGCAGGGTGGTGTGATACACAGTGACAGAGGGTGGGACCACATGAGACGGCTGTGCCAGGCTCATCTTTGAGAAGGTACCATTTGAACTGAGAACGCACCAGATGAGAAGGAGGCAGCCATGCAATCTAGGGAAAGAAGGAAGGGCAAAGACAGGGAGATGGGAACCAGCAACAAGAGTGTTTTGCTTCCTGCTTCTCCATTCTGCACACAAATGCTATTTCTCTGTCTCTGGCATGTTGCACTCTGTTAAAGAAATTGCTCTATGATGCCTGGGAAGGGAATAATATTGAATGAAACAGAATTCCAAGGGAGCTACATACTGCCATGGGGGAGGGTGGGGACACTGAGGAAAGATAAGGCAAGGGCTGTGGAAGCTGCCCCAGGCTGCCCCATTTCACTACTGTGGTTAACTGGCAAAGGAGTCCGTGCAAATGAGTGCAGGATGTCCAAATCACAGCACTGTTTCACACATCATCATTTCAAGTCACCGACTGACAGGATTTAGCACTCTGTGTCTGGCAGCAACCAGCAGTGAAGCAGAGAGAATTCCACTGGATTATCCAAAGCATCTGACCCGCAAATGAGGAGTGAGCAGAACATTTTTAAAAAACAACTCTTGAGTGGTTCAGTGAGCCAATTCCACATTGAAGAGAGACACACAAACATCCAGCCGCCTCTGAGGCAAAAGGTCAGTTTCTTCTGCTTGTCCTTGGTCTTCAGAATCCAAGTTATTGATGTGAGCTGTGTCCCTCATTTTCCTAGCCAAAGGGGTAGACGTGAAGTAGAAATAGGCCAGATACGGTGTTCTGGGACAACACACCATTGTCTGAATCCAGAGAGCATCATGGCTGCAGTGGATGAGAACAGGCTCAGTGGGAGAGGCTCAGGGAACATCAGAAGTGCAGGGCCTGTCCTTTGAAGATAAAGTCTGGCTAGATCAGCTTTTCAGCGAAAGAAGCTAACGTCTGCAGACAGATCTTTATCTTTGGTGAGCCCATCACAGATCCCAGGTTTAGGATGGGGGCTAGAATGAAGGGAAAAAGCCAATTATCACCCTATAAGAAGTAGATAGGCTGGGGGCGGTGGCTGACGCCTGTAATCCCAGCATTTTGGGAGGCCGAGGTGGATGAATCACTTGAGGTCAGGAGTTCAAGACCAGCCTGGCAACATGGTGAAACCCTGTCTCTACTAAATATACAAAAATTAGTCAGGCATGGTGGCCAGCGCCTGTGATCCCAGTTACTCAGGAGGCTGAGGCAGGAGAATCGCTTGAAGCCAAGAGGCCGAGGTTGTAGTAATCCGAGATTATGCCACTGTACTCCAGCCTAGGTGACACAACGAGACTCCATCTCAAAAAAAAAAGAGTCTGGTGGCAGGGTCTGGGGAAGGGGCGGCAGGCGCCATGTCTAGCCGTGAAGATGGCAAGAAGAAGTCACTGAAACAGCCTAAGAAGCAGGCCAAGGAGATGGACGAGGAAGATAAGGCTTTCAAGCAGAAACAAAAAGAGGAGCAGAAGAAACTCGAGGAGCTAAAAGCGAAGGCTGCGGGGAAGGGGCCCTTGGCCACAGGTGGAATTAAGAAATCTGGCAAAAAGTAAGCTGTTCCTCGTGCCTGAGGAGACGGTGACCCTTTATTTCATCCTTATTTAAACATCTATATTCCCTGCCGTAACATCTTTTGCCATCTAAAGCTGGAATTAAGTGTTGTCTTGGAGCTGTTGTACATTTAAGAATAAACTTTTGTTAAAAAAAAAAAAAAGAAAAAGAAAAAGAAAAAAAAAAAGTAGATAGTACTGAACTGTCCCACCCTTGTGGGTTTCTGATTCTCCAATCAAGTCCTGAGACCCTCCTGCTCCCCATCCTTTTCTCCTCCAAGTCCTTCTCACACAGCTGTGAGGTAAGATTTACTAGATGGAATGTGTTTGCAAAATCTGTTTTGTTCACTGTAACATGTTTATCAAAAAAGAAAGAAAAAAAACCCCGTCCCTTCTCACTATTTAGTTTTTGGTGACTGCCTTTTGGGATCTGGAACTGGATAAACAGATGGACTTCACAGAAGAAATCAGGCGAAGCGCCAGGGTGTGTATATATATCTTAGTCTCACTGTAAATACGGCAGATAGCCCTCATCCAAACAGCTGTGCTGGTTTTGGAGGAAAGTGAGGGGACAGTGTCTTCTGGATGACAGTGCTCCCATTGCTCCAAGGTGTACCTCCCTGGTGGTGCTTTGGGCTATAGGATGCCAGAAAGATTCAGATATATGACCCTGATTTCATTTTCTGGCCTCTGGCTGTGGTAATTAAGTGTTGTGCCAGATCCCAAACTATTGCTTATTATTCGTACTGGGTTTGTTTGATATAAATGAGTGCCTACAAATGTGCTGAGTGTTTGCATTGTGTATAATGATGAGTACCTTTGCAATATACTGGATGCCTCTGTATTAAGGGGATGCCTAGTAGGGGTATAGTTTTGTGCGTGTGTGTGTGCACGCGCACGCACATGCAGAAGTTGTGGAAGGCCTGGACTACAGTATTTGCCTGGCCACAGAGCAGTATCACTGCTGGGGGAACAAGGTACAGTGATCCCTCATGTGCAGCACACTGCTGCCCCAAGGGAACTGGGGGGAATTGTACCGAGCAGTTTCTCTCCTAACTTTTTTTGCCACCTTCTCCAGTATAAATCTCTACTGCAGGTGGTAGGGGTGGAGGAAGTAACTCTTTCGTAATTCAATATGCTTCAATTCCCAGGTATGAACACACTTCTGAACACTTTAGGAGAATCTTCTTTTTTTTTTTTTTTTTTTTTGAGACAGAGTCTCACTGTCACCCAGGCTGGAGTACAGTGGCACAATTTTCGGCTCACTGCAACCTCCGCCTCCCTGGGTTCAGCGATTCTCATTTTAGGAGAATCTTCTAATAAAAAAAAATATTCATTTGCTTCACAGAGTAGGGTTCAGGTGGATGTCTCCTTCCCTCCTGGACAAACTCCTTGGGAAAAAAAAAAAAAAGACAATACTGTCCAAACAGGAAACTGGTGCCAAATAGAGGCAAAAAACCAAAACAAAACAACTCCCTGAGATAGAGTGGACTGCATTCATTAGGTTCAGGTAGCGCAAAAGACAGGAACATTAAATAATTACACTCCAACAGATCAAGGTGCAGTATAGGTAATGGGACCTCATAAGGACAGAACAAAAGATCTTGTTTCTAACAAAGGTTCTGCAGACCTTTATACTACAGTGAGCAATGAGTGAGAGGGATGCTGCCCAGGAAATGAAAGGACTCAATCGTTTCTCTTCAGTGAGCGAAGCCCAGGAGGAGTGTTCCAGGGCGCTCTCACAAACACTCTTGAATAACACCATCCAGAGCCTTTGATTCAAGGAACATGCTGAAGAATAAACAGCCTATTAATCTGAGTTTTCTGGTGTGCCTGAGTATACAAAGCAGCAATGAACTAACCCCTTGGCTCTTGCAAACATCCCGACTGCACACCATCCGCTGCTCCACTACACAGCTCAGCCCCTCCTTCCCATCCCTGCATGCAATTTCCCCTGCAAAAGCTTCAAGGTTTGGGGGTCCTGATGGTTTCATCTAATGATGCTCAGGCCAAACCCAGGGTGCAAAGAACCCTTGTTTGGCCATAAGAAGGCACAGCCATGTGACCAGGCTCAAATGAGAACTGTGTGGTAGTGTGACTGGGTAAGGAGACAAAGTCATCAGTCTGCCCCTTTCTGAGCCATGTTGACAGCCACAGGCCTGGGAAAGGAAGGCCCAGTTTCAATTGCTTCCTAGTCTTGGTTACCTTGGTGGCAGGAAGAGCTCCTGCATGGGTGGGCTTTGGGTGCCATTCTGTGGAAACATTCCTGGGCGTTTTGCCTAGGTAAAAATTACCAAGTAAGGTCCTTGAGTTTTCTTTCTTTCTTTCTTTTTCTTTTCTCTTCTTTTCTTTTTTTTTTTTTTTGAGATAGGATCTTGCTCTATCACCCAGGCTGGAGTGCAGTGGTGTGATCTTGGCTCACTGCAACCTCTCCCTCCTGGGTTCAAGCAATTTTCGTGTCTCAGCTTCCCATGTACCTGGGACTACAGGCGCGTGTCACCATGCCTGGCTAATTTTTGTATTTTTAGTAGATATGGGGTTTTGCCATGTTGGCCAGGCAGGTCTTGAACTCCTGGCCTCAAGTGATCTGCTTGCCTTGGCCTAGGTCCCTGAATTTTCAAGGAGAAAAATGGAAGAAAGAGAAGTAGCTGTTTCACTTTCATCCTTTCACTAGAAGTCCTTCTTTACAAACAATCAGGTGTAGCTTTTGTGATAACAACAAATTTGATCGGTTCTCCTTCCCACCCCCAAGACAAAGTACAATGATAGTATTTTAAGTATAAACCAGGCGTTGTTGTTGAAACAAGGTAATTGAGGCTAGGATCATAGGCTCAAATCAGCCACGGAGCGGTTTCTCTGTGTTCTATGGTCACTGACCTCATGCAAGGTGTGTGCTTAATCATAAAAGGAACTAGTGTGACAAGGCGGATAAATCAGTATCACGGCTATCAATACATACTGGGCTGTGCATACACACACATATTCTCAAAGCCTAATCCCTCTGGCCCCAAATTTATATATCAAGGAAAACATGTTTAATGAAAGTTTCCTTTCTAAAAATAATTTCAAAGAGGCGCTTGGACTTAAAAAAATTAATTCTAAAGTCTTCTGATTCTACTTCCAGGGAACTACTTTGTGTTTAGTCCCTTGAAACTGGAGAAGGACACACATCTTTGATGAGAAGGAGCAGCACAAAAGCTTGCATTTTATGTGATTGGCTCTGAGATGATACCACAGAGGGTAGGAAGTAAGAGCATGGGCTCTGCAGTCAGACAGATCGAAATCTGAGCTCCTCTTCTGCCACTTGCTGATGTGTGATCTTAGACCCATGACATCAAATCAGTGAGTTTCAACTTTCTCATCTGTAAAATGGAAATAGCTTCATGGGATTATTGTGAGGATTATATAACAAAAATGTTTAGTACCATGCCTAGGACACAGTAAGAGTTCAATAAATGATAGCTGTTCTTACTGTTTCTTTTAATTAAAAAAAAAATTTTTTTTCAGAGACAGAGTCTCACTCTGTTGCCCATGCTGGAGTACAGAGGTATGATCATGGCTCACCACAGCCTCAAACTCCTAGGCTCAAGTGATCCTCGCACCTCAGCCTCTTGAGTAGCTGGGAATACAGGCACATGACAGCACGCCCAATTACTTTTAAAATTTTTATCTATTTATTGTTTTTGAGAGAGGTCTCCCTATGTTGCTCAGGCTGGTCTGGAACTCCTCACCGTAAGTGATCCCCTCACCTCTGCTTCCCAAAGTGTAGCGATTACAGGCATGAGCCACCATGCCTGGCCCTTGTTACTATTTGAATCCTCTAAATAATAGGCACAGGGACTTAAATGGTGGCTGGCGGGCACATGAGCTACATGAAATGGGAGTTTCTTCATTCCTTACCAAGCTGGGCTTAGAAGATCCTCAGACCGTCGTCCTTCACTACACTGGCAACCAGTGTTTGGGTTATCTGGGGTAACTGATGGAAGGACAATGAGAAATCAAACCCTGGTACTCTGGAACTTCATTTTGATTTGGGAACTGCAGATTGACCTGCGGTATTCCCACCCCAGATTCTGGCTTAGCAGATACAGCCTTTTCCTAGGCTTCCACCTGTTGAGACAAACAGATGTAATCTGAACACAAGAGGGGCTTGCAAGCACAGATCTGGTATCAGACCGCCTTACCCTGCAGCATTCCTGGGGTCATAAAATGACAAACATTTCAACAGGCTGGATATCTAACCCTTCCTGCCCTGTAACTGGGGCCTTATGAAACTGCTTCTTGTGATTACAGCCATTGGTACCTCATACCAAGGCTGTGAGGTGGACTTCATTAATATTGATGAGCTGCAGCTCGTTAACCTCATTTGATGTTTATTTACAACCATTCTTCTCATATGCTAATGAATGACACTGGGCTCTTCAGATAGAAAGGAGAGAACTGGACCCTCTCTGCCAGCATCTCCTTGGCAAACTCCTGTGCCTTGAAACAGAAGTTTGCACAGAGGGAATGAAGCCAAATGGAGGGAATGCAGCAGAGAGGACAAAATGATGTGAAAAGAATGTCTGCAATGTAATCGGGGAGAGAGAAGCCCAGCTGCTGGGGCCACAGTGTGACTGAGTTTTGGTTACACCCACCCAGTGGCTAACAAAGAAGCTGAAGGGCGGGGAACTGAGGAACTAAGACAAGGACAATGTATTAGATTTTGGAATTTTTGGAATTGGAGTAGGGGGGTGGAGATGAGTGGGCCCCATGGGTGTCAGGGAGCTTGAAGGCCTCTCTAGGATTCATTCCACTTTCTTCTGTGATCTTAAGCAATCAATAGGCAGGGAATTGGGGTGGATTTCTTTAAGGCAGTAAAATGCCCATAGCAACGAATGCTTATCAAATGCTTGGCTTGGAGAAAGAGTGCTCATTGTCGCACAGTGAAATGGGTAAGTAGGGAGAAATAATCTCTGATTCTCTTTCCTCAAAGTTATAGGTTTGTGTATTAAAGAATAGGATGATTAAGCAAGGAAGAGTCAGAGACTGAGGAAAAAATAAACTTTCAAATATGGCCATTAGCGGCACAGTCGCTCATGTCTGTAATCCCAGCATTTTGGGAGGCCGAGGAAGGAGGATCACTTGAGCTCAGTCATTCGAGATCCTGGGCAACATAGTGAGA